CTAATTGAGTTGGTAAATTGTACATGTAAATTTACAATTTGGAGATACTATTATATTCAAACTCCAAGATAATAGATAAATCAAATTAGTACCATGTTTGTGATGATTTATCATGAAGAAAATTCAATAAACCAATTAATCAATTGCTCATATAAATTTCACTCTTGGAAATATTAATCTATGGTAATTGTTGATAATTATTATTATTCAAGTTTCTTCATATTATTTTCTTATTACTTGTTGGTCATTGTTGACCCAATTTCAGATGATATCAAATGATATCTAATTGTTATGAATGAATTTCCTTCTAATTAGAATTGATTGATTTTTTCATCATCATCAACTTTCTTATTAAATGATTTATATACTGAAATTTAATCATGTTGGTAAATCGATTGATGATATCGGTCAATCAATGATTTACATATGATTAACTGTTGAAGGGATTATATTTACATAGATTACGAAATGTTTTGGTTACTTTTGGGTGACAACTTTTCAGATCATTAGTCATATACATTTAATTACCATCATGATAATAATAATAATGCTAATGATTATCGAGTAATTCAACGATCAATTTTCATGATAAATTCCTATGATTGTCACAGAATTAATGATTTTTAGTATTTAATTAGATAATCGATGATGTTAATAGCTTCTTTCCATGGCTTATTTAGTCGATGTTAAGTAATTTAAATGATGAAAATTTATTCGTTTAATGCATATTAGTGAAATATATTAATTAACTGGATAAATAAATGTTAGTTTAATGGTGAAAATTTAATTAACTGTAAACATCAAGGAAGTCCAAAATTGCGCCTTTAATGGTTCCCAAGTTACAATCATTGACCACATATAATTAGAATCAATTAATCTCAACATTATCATGTTTACTTTCTCAACATGGTAATGAAAATTTTATGTACAATCAACTAAATCATTATCTCTTTTGGTTTATATCTAATATAAAGACAATCAACCTTTTTATGAGTTCCATTGATAATATCATTCTCCATGAGAATAAAAATTCAAAGAGAAAAGAAAAAATAAATCAATCGAGAAGGCACAAAGTTTCCTATTCTCTATCAGCTTCCTAATTGAAAGATAATCATCCAACGAACTAATGAATTTGGAACTATTTATTTCCAATATAAGAAAAGGATATAATATTTCGTTCTGTGATATATAAATGAAAAAATTTCAATTTCTTTTCGAAATTCAGAAAGGTAAAAATTCATTGGCCTGTGAACAGAAAATTATTACCAAATAATTGTTAGAACTTTTTTAGCTTTCTCTCTCTCTCTCTCTCTCTCTCTCTCTCTCTCTCTATCTCTCTTTGATTTTCAAAGATGAAACAAAGAGACTAGAATGGCTAGAGATTAATGATGGTCAGATTATTACGATATAAAGGTAACTTCATCTTTCTCTGACAACGATTATCCTCGACCAATAAGGCTTCTGGGCAATATTTGTTATCCTCTCTCTCTCTCTCTCTTACTATCTTTAGTTGCTTAACTTTATCATCATCATCATCTTCATCTTTTTGTCTTCATATTATATCTTTGGTTTCCAATTGAAAGGAAAGGCCTTAAGGATAATCGAAGGAGTAAAAAAGAAAAGAGGCTGGATAATGACCATGGAATCAGATATATATAAAAGCCGAATGAAAGAGAAAGAGTTGGAGAAAAATTCTCATATTGACCGTGAATCAATAAACCAACATGAGAGACAAATAATACGAAAAACAAATGAATCAGAATCAGGTTACAACTGAACAATCTTATCCTTTTTCTTACTCTAAATCATCAACCTTCTCATCCTCCTTATCCTCTCTCTCTCTCACTCACTCACTCATTCTCCTTTCTACTTCCTTTATTCTTGACCAGCATCTCTTCAAATAAGATTTACGGTTAAAAGTAAAATGTTATAATCCAACTAACAATCAAGGAAACTAATCAGATGAGATGATAATCATGATGCATGATGATTACAATCATCTTTTCTCTTTCATCATCTTTAATCATCATCATCATTTTCTGAATCCTGAATGTAATAATCAACTGTAATGATCAATCAATTCTCATCTGATTTGTTTTGGTTTTCATTCAATTGTTTTGTGGATATATATCAATTTACCTTGACAATAATAAACAAAAACAAGCAAAAACGTATTTAATTACAATAGCAAATCATGAATTGTAATTAACTCAATTTCATTCACCAGGTAAATATGAATAATAATTTTACATGGTTAGTAAATTGGTTGATGACAGAAAATGATTGAGAAGAAGAAAAAAATTTGAATAACTAATCATTACAATAAATTAACGGAAATATTAATCGCTGATAATCAACAAAGGTGATTAATCTAATGAGATAATCAACTTTGCATGATTACACCTTTGAATTACTTGATGATGATGAAAATGAATGGAATGATTTTCCTCTTCTTCTCTCTTGTTAATTCTGATTTTCTTGTATTCCAGTTGAGTACATGGAAATAAATATATATTTAATACACTTTTCATCACAATATCATGAAAGGTAATTGTTCAACTCGTTTACCATGTAAAGATATTGATTATCGTCAATGTAATAACAATGTTGTTGTTGTTGTTGTTTTTTTTTTTACTTTCTCTTGATTTGACAGCATAAGAATAATGATAATCTAGTATTCAGTTTTGGTCATTGTTATTCAGATGAAGATATTTATATAAACATCCATCATGTTCAATATTATATTGCATGTAACTATCATGTTAGTCATCTGAGTTTCATTGGTATCAAAGTTACCTGAGCTGAAAGTGTATAAGCCAAAAGTGTAGAGTGTTATTCACAGAAGGAGGGGGGAAGATGTAGTGGTGAAAATCATCATCATGAAAATAGATTCAGAATAAGATTCAGAAAGAAACATAGAGAAACAATAAGAGAGAAGGAAAAAATCAAAGAACTTTTCCTACCCTTCCCAACCTATTTTTGACCATCATGTTGACCACCATCATTATCATCATAAGCATGATAATGATGGTGAAAATGAACATTATCATGACAATATCTGAAACTCTTTCTTTCTGTCTTCTTCTTATATTCATCATCTGGTTTTACTCTTTCATTCCTAATCCATTTTCATGATTCCAAGAAAAAGATTTCAGAGCCAATTGAACTCTTGGGGATTCAAGCCTTATTTTCACCAGTCTTTTTGCTATTCTGTATTCCCATGAAATTAGAACAACAAACAAATATAAACACAGAAAAAAAGAATAAAGTTTTCTTTAACCAAGAATCAATTCTATTAATTACTCTATTTAAATATATTAGATGCAAAAGAAATTCAAAGAATAAGATTCAATTTAATTTTCATTTCAAGTCATCACTAAAAAGCCCAAAGTTCATGGGGATTCTGTAAATATGAGCAAAGAAAAAACCTCAAGAATCAGATATTCTATTATTATAATTATTATTATATGAAAATTGGGTTACCATGTTTAGGAAATTCTGGACAATCAGCTTATTCAGCTGGAAAACATTTCTGCAATGTCCAGTTTTTGTTTCTCAACATTAACAAGAGTCTTTTGTTGTTTATCTTTGGAGTTTTTTTTTAACTTGTCTTGTCCTTCAAAGTTTATGTGTATTTTATATTGTTGACAATTTATCATTATCATCATTAGGGATTTTGGTGTTTCATCATTTAATCATCAACAGTGGACATTCATAAAATCATCTTGACCATTTTTAAAAGCATCAAATTTTCAAAGCAAAGTCTGAAGGAATCAAGAAAACAAAAACAATACTTGACTTTGTCATTTGTGTAATTTACCATTGACTTTATATTAAATATATACTGTCATGGTCAGTTTTTTCAGAGTGGTCAGAACAGAATCTGCTTATCACCATGTTTATCATATTATTTATGCTCTAATATTGCTTGTTTTTCATTTGTCAATCTTGTGGTTGTTGTTGTTGGTGGTGGTGGTGAGGTTGGGGTTGGGGTTGGGGTTGGGATGCTTTAATATTATCATCACTTATTATGTGTTTCTGAATTAACTTAAATGCTGTCAGCTTCAGGCAAACAATTCATAAATCAGTTAACTGTTAATCTAATTCAATGTTTTATTAATTTTCAGTTGAAGGTTCATCATTCATGATGCTTGATCCAAGTTTCATTTACTAACCATAAATTGTTTACTCATTGATTAAGTGACAGTCAAAAGTTTTATCAATTTAGTTGATTGTCACATGTCAACTTTAAGTGATAATATTTGTTTTTTTGTTGGATGAAAAAAAAATTAGATGAAAATCTCATCTCATGGGGAAAATTTCAACATTTTCAAGAGATTTTTTTTTCTCATTTCATTGAAAAAGTTCATTGTTACAATCATGGTGTATAATCACTTGACTATCTATGTTTATGTTACTTAAATCAGCACTGTATTTAAATCTCACTATAACTACACAATTGATTGTCATTAGTTAATCATGAATTGAGACAGATAAAAAATGAACTCAAGTTGTTAATGGGTTGTGACAATTGTAATACTAATCTAAGTTTATCCTTTCGGCGATTATGGTTATAAGCTGAAACAATCAATAATTTTGAATAACCCATGAAGTTGAGCGTATTTACATGTTAGGTTGTAACAATGTCAAAGGAATGGGAAGATAGAAAGGGAGAGAGAGAGAACAAGTAACTGAGTAAGTGAGATTAATCCTGAGAAACTCTGGTGTCAATCAGAACTTATTTAAGTTGTTAATCTTTTCGCAAGCTAATCTCTATCACTCTCTTTTCTACCATTGATAAGATATTTTAACATTTTCTATCCACAGAAATTCATGTTACTCAGCTTAAGAGATAATACAAGAGAAAGAAAACACATTGGAAAATTTTCTTCTTAACCTTCATCATGTTATCAGATTAATTGTATCAACTTTTCATGATCACATTTGAAATAAAGATAATAATAAGTAAAGATAAATAGAAAAAAAACTTTCAAACTTACCAGTCAGTTGTTTTGCAGAGCTCGATGAGTAAAGTATTGATTTTATCCGTTTAATTGGTGGTAATTTGTTGATTATTGAGAGTCAATTGTTAACACTTTTTATTAATCCTGAACTGGAAATAAGAAACAATAATCCAATTGGAACATAAATTCAACGACAAAATTGAAAGCACATTGACCATTAATCCATTAGCAAAGTTGATAAGAGTCACATTGAAACTATTGAACAATTCATTAATTCCCGGAAGATGAAACTTGGGCCAGAATTTTTTTCTCCTTTACTTTGAACATGTAAATACAACATAATGAGAATAAGATTGAATGACGGTGAAGAGGAGGAAGAGAGAGAGAGAGAGAGAGAGAGATTCTCTGGAAGATGAGAAGGGGATAATCCTTTTAATGGTAAACGAGCAACTTTTTTTAACATTATAAACACGAGATTAAGTTTCTATCCCCAACCTTATCCCATTTCCTTTGTTTCCATATCTCAATCTAATCTTGATCCTCATCATCATCTTTTGCTTAATCATAAATATATATGATTACAATGAAGAGAAATGTTAATATAAAAAAAACCCAAAAACAAAAAAAAATGAGTAAATGCAAATGATGAAGATAACAGTAAATGCAAATACCAATGATAATCAAGTTTATATGAAAATGATTATTTCCACCGGTGGGAATTGCTAACCAAGATTGTTTGAAAAGACTAAAAAAACATTGAGCATTTTACTTGGCATATTATTATTACATTAACCTAATGTATCCCTGTTTAGGCAATATTACATTATTAATAATATAAGAGGGTTTCCATTATTATTAGTTTTTTTTTCATTCATAAAGTATAATTAAATTAAGCTTAATTGTAATATTTGGGTTAATCATTTACAACATTATCACTTTTCAAATGTTGCAATCAAAATATGATTACAATAAATGATAATAGTTTTGCTTGATATTTGATTGGTTTGGTAATTTTTTTTTATCTTGGCTTCAAGTTGCAACAATTTACTAACCATTTTCCTATTGATTGATTATTGGTTAATTGTTTAACAATTTAAAAGACGATTAAGGTTAATAACAATGGTAATTGTCAAGGTGAAGATTAAAAAAAAAAGGTTAACCAGATAATCAAAGGTTATTCAAGGTGTTAAATCAGTTGGTTTTGACAGAATTGTTGACAGAATTAAATTGAGATTCTCATTAGCAAATGTATTGATTAGCTTTTTACTCATTAATAAAGATCAGTAACAATTTAGATTTGCAGGCAAGAGAATGATGGTATTTGGGTGTGTGTGGGTATTAGATAGTTGATTAAGTTCTAATCACAATGGAAGAAGAAAAGTGTTGCAAATTAATGGCTACAATTAATTTCGAAAGAGGATAATTGTGCTTTCGAAACTATTGATGTAAAAGAAAAGTTGCAATTTCGATGGAGAGAGAAAAATCGAAGAGAGAGAGAGAGAGAAAAAAAAAGTTCTAATAGTTTCTTATTCGAAAAGTGTTTTAAACTTTTTCGTAAACTCATTTAATCGCAGTTTTAGTTTATTGGAAAAGATCAAAATTAAATATTATTATTATTTCTTCACCATAGGAAGAAAAAGCAAATTCAATCCCTTCCAATTCATTAGAATATTTTTCAAGGTATTATCTCATTTTCCTCTTCCTGTAAAATTCATTACTACTCATTCATTATCCCTCATGGTGTTTTTTTCACTCCTTTTCTGTTTCTTATTTGTTTTTTTTTTCGTCTCTTCTCTCATACATCTTAATATCACCATGAATTGGAATCTTTTTCCCAGAGCAATTAAATCAAACATAGATTAACATCTTCCTTGTCACAATTTCAATTCCATTGCTATTCATCAATCATTTCTCTCACTCTCTATCTCTCATGAACTAGGAAATTAATATTTCTTTCATCATCATAACTTTTGCGATCAATTCAGAAAGTGATACATGAGATTGAATTTTGAATGGAACGAAAAGAAAAAGGGAAACAGAATCAAACTTTTATCGTACATACAAATTGAATTGGAAAAAAAAGTTTATCAATTTCACAGTTTTTCTCGATATTTGTACTCATGGTAATTTCAAGGTTCTACAATGATCATGGTAAACGTTGAATCTTTCAACAAAAAAGCTCAGAATTTATCCAGTTTTTGCTTGCCTTCCAATCCATTCAGAGTTTCATTTATTAATAGTCTGAATCAGGGGGAATAGTAAATATTATCATGTTGAGAGTAAAATTTCAAATTTATTTCGTAATATAATACACATAAACTATCAGTTGACATTCAGTACTCAGATTATTCTGATAAATGTTCATTAGTTTTCCATAGTCTTTCAATTAATATAATTCCAGTAAATATTTACCTTGTTGTTTTATTTAATCTCTCAATGTACTATAACTATTCAAGTTTTCATGATGATTGTTCTTGTCATTGATAATAGATTATTCTGATTCAATTGTAGTTGAATTTCACCTAAATTTATATTCTGATTGCATGATTAAAGGTGAAAAATTAATCTAATCAACTCTCGATGATTTATATATATTGATTGTTGATACCAATATAATACAATCATTGAATACAAAATGAGCTGATGAAAAAAAAGGAAACAAAAAAAAAGTTCAACTTGTATCAATTACTCAGGTAATATTTCACATGATTGATTGGATGATATTTTTCACCATCAACATCACCATGTAACTCTGGCAATTTATTACTCGTTATAAAGCTACTTGAAACTGTCAGCAAATGATTTAATCATCATGTTGCATATTCATACTCATAGTGACTTATTAAAGTGTCTGAACTTTTTTTTTTGAATGGATGAGGAACAAAAGAAAATAAAATAGTAACATTTTCATCAATGAAACTGATTATTTTGATTAACTTTTTGTGTTGAACATTAGATTGTCAATGATTGAACTGGATTAGATGTGACAGGACAATGGATAAAGTTAGTGGTCAAGAGATTAGCTTGGAAAGGGTCGACTGCTATTAAGAGGTGTTGATTGTAAACTTTACATGCATTAATAGGATGTGTATGTTTTCAATTGTTTCTGATGATGGTTAACTTAATAAGGAAGACAAATTGTTCATCTCAACTGTATTAGTAGTACTGGAATTGGGGAGAAAAACAATATATAATCAAGAATCATGGTGATAAAAAATAAACACGGTGGGAATAAAATCGTAACACGTAGTTTCAAATTCAACCCACAGGAAGAAAAATATAACTCCAAATAATGATAACCTTGGGAACAATATAACACTTACCATGTAACTCATCCTCTTTTCCTTCATCCTTTTCCTGTTGTTCATTTTCATCCTTTTTTATCTCTTATCCTTTTCTTACTCATCATCATCTACCATCTCTCTCTTTCTCGCTCGCTCTTCTCATCTCTTCACCTAACACAAAAGTTCAGCTATTAAATTCTGGTTATTTATCTGTCGCATTTTTCATTGGAAATTCAATCCTCTCAATCATTGTTTTCTGTAAACTTCATCGACTTCCGGTTCTGTTCTGATCTTTTCCTTCATCTTTTTCAAATCTTTCTCTCTCTCTCTCTCTCTCTCTCTCTCTCTCTCTCTCTCTCTCTCTCTCTCTCTCTCTCTCTCTCTCTCTCTCTCTCTCTCTCTCTCTCTCTCTCTCTCTCTCTCTCTCTCTCGCTCATCGTTTTTACTTCGCCTTCTCCTTAGTTTCAGTTGATTACTTTGAGATAGTTCAGATATCATTGGAAAAAATAAAACGAAAAGTTATCAATTACGAATTTTTGACAATTCTTTTGCTCCTTTGTTTCTTATGGAGAAAAAGATGGAAACGAAAAGTTGATCATCATTTTCCTACTTTTTCTTCTTGTTCTCTCAGCTAAAGTTCTTGATAGAAAATGATAGAATTATTTTCATGGGATGGGGAAAGAAAAAAAAAGAATAATAAAATCGCATATAAATAAATCATCATTGGAAGATTAGAATCTTTTTCTCTTTTATCTTCTTCGTCTTCTTCTTTCTTTCTCTCTTTTTTTCATTCGAAAATAACGAAAGAAATCGAAAGAAGGTCTCATGGAAATTGCATGTTTATGCCTCATGGAAAAAAAAGAAGGAGAATGAGAGAAATGTAAGAAAATTACCTGAGAATGTAAATCATGGAATGAACAAAAGTAACTGTAAAAAGGTTTCCTTATTTATATATGTGGGTGGGGTTGGTGGATTGGACGATGTTTAAATCATGATTGAAATGATTCCCATGGAAAATGTAACCATCATCACTTTGAATAAACATTGAATGATGATAAAGATTAATATTGAAAAGGAGACTCGGTGAAATGAATAAAAAATCAGTTGGATTAACAGATCAGAAAAAAAAATCGGTTCATAGTTATGTAAATAAATACATAGCTTATTGTGGTGGTCAGCTGAATAAGAGTGGACAATAACATGATAACCATGAAAGTATATGATAGATAAGATTATCATGTGAATGAATATTGGCTCAGATTTCAGTTCAATCAAAGAATAAATTTCTAAAGAAATTAGAGTTTAATTTTAAAGAATTAAAAAGTTACTCCGTCTTCTCAAAGGAATCGAGTATTCATTTCATGTGATTCATTGAATTTAGTTCATTGAAAATTCATGTCAACTTTTTCTTACCACCAATCTAATGAGCTCAGCATCAAATCATTTGCTCGAGTTTCTCTCGATATATCGATAAGTCCAAGTTCCATGGTTCCATGGAAAATGTTCTGATCGGAATTAAAGTTTTAACGATAAAATCTTTCATGTTTATCGAATAATTTTTTTTTCTTTCTGCACAATATTAATATTCATTAAGTAATACTTTCTTTTATCTCTACTATTCAATGGAAATCCCTTCAGGGTAGATTGAAATTTTCTTTGTTTCTATTGTAAAAGGAAACCATTTTAATCTTAAAAGTTATTTGAAATCAATCATGTTATTAACTCAGAATTACATGAGAATTGCTTTTAATAAAAATTAAGGAAAAGTTTATCAATTATTAATAACATTTAATTTGATAACATTAATCATCTGATTATGTAAATCATAAATATTACATCAATTCTTTAAAAAGGAAAATTGTTATTCTATTATCATTATTTATTATCTAGAGTTCTGGTTTCAAATAATTAAGATTCATGCAATTTGAATTCACAATTAACACATAATCATATCAAATGGTTGTATCTAATTTTCCCAATTTAATCTCAATTAATTAAAGGCCAATGATTAGATAATTAATACAAGAAACAACTCACCTTATTATTATTAATAATAGAATAGATTTTTTTGTGATAAAGTAATTATAATCTAGATATTAAATTCACAATTAAATTGACACTAACAAAACCGATGAATTAATGAGAATCATGAAGAATGAGGATATTGATGAAAAGTTTAATCGTTCAATATTTAATAAACAATTAGTGATTAAATTGTTATTGATTAAACACACACACACACACCGATCACAATTGGATAAACTTGATAATTAGTAGAGTTGAATAAATATATATTCATATATAAGAATCCAAGTGATTAGATGAAAGTTTGACATTAAACTGAAACTGAAATTCTGAAAGTAAGAACTGAGCGAAAGATATAAAAAGTTGAAGTTCTATGACAAGAGATGGCGCTTTTTTGAAATTCTTTTTTTCAGAGAAATGAGGCGCCATCTCTCGGTTTCAATTGAAATTTTGTTCGATTTGAATGTTAATTGTGATTTCTTATTATTATTAATTACGTTGATTCACATATTGATTGTTGAATAAATTGTGAGCCAAGATTGATAATAATCGTTGAGTGATTATCATTAATGCAAAACATTTGCTAAATTGATTCAGATTAATGAACTTTATTTGTTGATTTTTCTTGATTCACAATTTGATATTAATGAGAGACTTTAATTCAATTAAGCAACTCTATTAATATTCTGGAAATTAATCGGTAGGAATATTGATAATTTATATTTGTTTCAGAGTTTCTACTCCATGGAATCATGCTGATGATAGTGATTCGAAAGGATTTGATTAGTGTATTAAATTGGACATTGATTTATTATCCTCGAAAGTTTAACCGGGAAACTAATCCAACTTTTAAATCATCGACCATTGAGAAATCAAATTGGTCAGTTTTAAAGTCAAAAAGTGGCTTGGCAATATTTTCACTCTCTTTTCCAGGTTGATAGGGGGGAGAGTAAAGGCAAACCGTATAGATACCACCTCCATGTTGACCAGCAGATCGAGCTTGACCACAGCCATATTGTTGAGTTGTTTTTGAAACAATGTTGACAAAATGTTGAACATTAGGTGTAAAAATTGGATTCTCATAATTATATGATTTCTCCTCTTGGACATACCAATTGGTCAACACTTTAACAGCTGATACAGCATCTTCTGGATTAGATTGATAGTAAACATTTTCAGCAACATCATTGTCATGCTCTTCCGGTGGTGGAGCATTTTCATACCATGCACGTACCACAGCACGATGACGAGCTGCAGTAATCAACTGGACACACAAACAAATCGACGGACAAATGGATAAAGAAAATGTGATTCATTCAGAAAATTCATAAGATTTTCATTAACATGAAGAGAGAGAGAGAGAGAGAGAGAGAGAGAGAGAGAGAGAGAGAGAGAGAGAGAGAGATTAATCTTACCGTTTCATTTGGATATAATTCAGAGACACCATGGCGAAGCCGAATGGCCTGATGAATTATATCAAGATCTTGAAAAAATGACCAATCAACATTTTCCGTGATAATATGAATACGATCATCAACTAATTCAGTTCGTTGTAGATGATTACAGTTAACCAACAAGCTAATTAAAGGTAAAACTGTTAAAAATTTGATAACAATCATAATGGTTCCAAATTGATTGGTTGTAATGTAAAGTCAAATACGACAATTAAATGAAAGTTAATTGGCTCTTTATAGAGACAATTAAAACTAATTGCTTGTTACTTTTATTCCGTTAATTGTAGTAATGGTTTTGTTTAATTACCACAATCTAATCATTTATTCAAAAGTTTCTCATCTGTTTCCATCAGTTTTAAGCTGTAATCTCTCAAACCATCTGATTATTTGGGATAAAGATTTTACTAATTAAACAAGAGTTAATTAACTTTCAAGGACTGAGGATTAACTGGTAATCAAGTATTATCATTATCATTATGGTGACAATTAAATTTTAGACAAAGGTAATTGATTATATTGCACTAAAATGCTTCATGTTTTATTTTGTAATTTTTTTTTTAAATATTTTGCCAATCGGATTAACCGATTAACACTCAGCCTCCAAATTCAGACAAAAGTTACAATTGTTATTAATCAATTTGGTTCACCATAAAATCTTGATCTTAATTGTTTTGTTTTTTTTTTATAATGATCGATTGTAATTTGATTATTAAATATAAGAGACACAAATAAATTAAAAGATGATTTTCAAATAAAATGATCAATCAATTAAAAATCTAAATCAATTACAACTTGCTCGATGTTTTCAATTTACTAATTATCGTTGGTGTAAATTTTTTGTTGCTGTCGTCGTTGTTGTTGTTGTCGTTGTTGTTGCTGTTGTTGTTGTTGTTACTGTGATTGCAAGTTGATTGTTTACTCTAATTAGATCTTAATCATGATCAGAATAAGGTTGAGCAGTTTTGGGTGGAAAAAGAGAGATAGAGAGAAAGAGAGAGAGAAAAAAATGGGCCAATATGAATTTTCAGCGAACCTCAGGATTTTCATGTAAATTTAAATTTCTCTTTGGCTTCGGTGTGTCTTCTTGTTGTATTATTATTGTTTTCCGATCTGAGGTGCTGTTGATGGGAGGTTGTTGTTGTTATTGTTGTTGTTGTTGTTGTTGTTGTTGTTGATCTTTGTGGTGATGGTTGTGGTGAGAGAGAGAAAGAGGTGGGAAAAAAGGTCAGAATGTCCTTTTGTAGTTCGCAAATGACCATCCTGAATCTTATGGAATTTAGTCTGCATGTTGCTGAGCCCGTGCCTTTGGAAGTCCAGGCTAAATTGATTGGGAAGAGAAAATGATTAAAAGTTAGTTGATTATTATGATTATATGAAAAATTAGCTCATTTGATATTATTATCATGTAATACTTACTCCTGGACTCATGGCTCGACTAGCTGAAGCAGAGCTTCGGTTTCTCGCTCTCAATTTAGCTAAAGCATTTTCTGCCATGTCAGCTCGTTCCTCAGCATCTTCCAATTCTTGTTGAACTTTTCGGAATTTAGCCAAGTTAAGGCAGCAATTTCTTCAGCTTCTTCAATTTGTCTCTTGTAGGTCTTAATCTTTTGTTGAAGTTTATCAACCAGATCTTGCATTCGCTCTTGGTTCTTACGATCTTCCTCTGATTGGAATTGAAGTTCCTTAAGGCGTCTTTCAGCCTTTCGTAAGTTCTTAGCAGCATCACCGTGCCTTCTTTGCTCAGATTCAAGCTCTTGTTCCAATTCTCGAACCTTTTGTTCCAATTTCTGGATAACCTTCTTACCTCCCTTAAGAGCAGCTTGTTCAGCTTCATCAAGTCGAACTTGTAATTCCTTGATTTGTTGTTCCATTGCTTTCCTCATCTTCTCTTGTTGTTGAGCGTGCTCTTGTTCAGCTCGTAACTCATCAGCCAATCGAGCGGCATCAACCATTGCCTTCTTAGCCTTTTCTTCTGACTGTTTAGCCTCATTCAACATTTCGTCAAGATCGGCTTAAGGCTTGCATTTCTCCTTCCAATTTCCTCTTGGCCATTGAAAGTGATGCATTTTGAGCGGACAATTCATTGTTAGCTTCATGAAGTTCACCGTTCTCTTGTTCAGCGTTTCGTCGAGCTCGGTCAGCCTTTAAAAGGTTGAAAAAATAAATTAAATTGATTAGCATTTGAAAAGAGTAATAGAAAGTAAAACTAATTAGAACTTACTTGTTCAAGAAGCTGTCGAGACTCTTCAAGCTCTCCATGAAGGGCATTGCATCGTCTCTCAGCCATGGCGTATTGCTCTCGAGCTTCATCTCGAGCTCTTTGTTCCTCTTCCAATGATGTTTGAAGATCTTTGATCATTTGTTGATATTTCTTAATAGTCTTTTGAGCCTCAGCATTGGCCTTATTGGCATGGTCCAAAGCGATCTCAAGTTCATTGATATCAGATTCAAGCTTCTTCTTCATCCTAAGTGCCTCAGCCTTACCTCTGGCTTCAGCCTCAAGTGATGCTTGCATTGAATCGAGGGCTCGTTGATGGTTCTTTCGTGTATTCTCAAATTCTTCCTCCTTCTCTTGGAGACGTCGGTCAATTTCTTGTCGAACTTGAGATAATTCAAGTTGAGCTCGAAGAACCTTATTCTCTTCTTGTTCCAAAGCAGCTTCAGCTTCTTCCAAAGCAGCTTGTAATTCTTCCTTCTCCATTTCAAGTCTCTTCCTCATCTTCTCAAGCTCATGAACTGATCGTCCACCTTCACCTAATTGGTCCATAAGATCCTTAATCTCATCTTGAAGGTTCTTGTTCTCCCTCTTAACGGCTTCATAATGTTCTTGTGATTCCTCGTATAAGGCTCGAAGTTTAAATAATTCGGTTGAATAGTTTCTACATTCTTTCTGTGAAGCATCTAATTCAGCAGCCAAATCGTCAACCTTGTGTTTCCAGTCAGCGACAATCTTATCGAAGTGTTTCTGTTTCTTCTCAAGAGAAGCAGCCAATGAATTGGCCTTTTCAACTTCGATTGACATGTCTTCGATTTCACCTTGGAGTCGTTGTTTAGTCTTCTCCAAGCCTGAACATTTGGCATTAAGTTGTTCGATATGTTCCTCTGATTCTTGTAATTTAATTTGTAACTTCTTCTTAGATTCTTCCAATTCCTCCAATCGAGCCAAACCTTCAGATTCAAATTTGGTTCTCCAAGCGGTAATCTCAGCATTGGCCTTAGATAATTGTCGTTGTAAATCGGCTTTACCCTCGGCTTCCTCTTCCAATTGTTCTCGTAATCCGTCCAAATCGTGTTCCAAGTTTCTGAATTTACCCATGATTGCAGCTCGTTCCTAGAAAATTGTACAAATTGTTGATCAGATGAACATTCATCTCAAAGTTTATTCGATTGCAGTTCGAACAATACTTACTCTACTTTCTTCATCGGCAGTTCTCTTGGCTTCTTCGAGTTGTGATTGGAGTGATGCCTTCAATTTACCAAGTTGGTTAACCTGTGATTCGGCTTCTTCCAATTGTCGTTGTAATTCACCATTTTCGACGGCGAGTTTCTTCTTGGAAGCATCGAAATCTCCTAATGTTCGGTTCTGTTCGTCAATCTTGTGCTGTAATTCACCTAATTGCATTTCTATTTGTTTATTCTGTTTCTCAAGATTGGCCTGATTAATAGCATAAAAAAAATTCGAAAAAGAAAGAAAAAGTTAAATTAGCATAAGTTGAATGGAAAAAGAATATGAAAAAAAAGAGTATCAAAGAGAGTGTGAGATGAATTTCTAGATGAATGGTTCTTTTTTATATTCCTATTTTCTGTAGAATTTCAATTCCAAGTGATTCGTAATCCACCAATTTCG